ATGTACGTATAAATGTAGAATAGAGGGAAAAACAAAATACCTGGTGTCAAAGTGACAGCTTTGGCTTCTGTTCCTAGATTTCCCCTGAGCAGGGCTGGGCCCCCATGTGTTGGGGAGGGGGCGACGGGAAGGAGGGGAATCAGCAGGTAAGCACAACGCACACTCCTGTGTGGGGACAGAGCGAGGCTGCACGGTCCTGTGGTCAAGGGCCCAGGCTTCCTTAGGTAAGTGCCTGAGTCTCTTTTTGTCTTAGTCTTGTCATCTCAAAATGGGGATACCGTTTAAGGATTTTGCTTTCAGGATTAGATGGGGTAATGCACTGGCAGAGCTTGTCACAGCACCTGGCAGGTGAGAAGAGCTGAATTCACAGTAGCTATGACCATTATCAGGGTCAGAGGGGCTCCCCAGGGGAGCTGTGATGCCACTTGTTTTGCTTTTTTTGTATTTCTGGAAATGAGCTGGGAGACAGCGTGAGCATAAAATTACCAAGCGTGCTGGGGGAGTTCAGGGATGGTGAGTTGCGGCTGTCTATCCTATCGAGTGTAGAAAGGTGGGGAGTCTGGGGCTCTGTGAGCAGGAGGAGGGAGGGCAGGTGAGCCCCAGCACATGCCCAGGGAAGCTTGCAGAGCACCATCCAAGGTGGCCAGCTGCTCCTTTGGGCTTTTTACTCAGCATGCAAATGCTCATAAAACAAGAGTTCTGCAGTTCTATTTCTTTTTCATTGATATTCTGTGGAAAAGTGAATCATTTCAAATATCTGATCAGCAGATGAAAGCTTTCAAACAATAGGGGGAACTTAGTGTGGAATGATAGGAGCCCCTGGGACTGACCACTTCATTATGCTGATGTGGCAATTCTGGCATTTTATGTGCCTACAGTTTACCAGTTTGCATGTGCTAGGGTTAAGATCAGAGGAGAAACAAACTCGGCCCTGAAAGAGTGTCAGTTGAAGGAAGAGGCCAGTTCTGTGCAGAAGAGAGCGTTCCTGTTGAGTAATGAAATACAAAACCAGGCTTCCCCAGGGATGAAGGCGAGAGAAATGGGGGAGGGGGGGTAGGAGGGCTGGGTCTCAACCCACCCTCCCCCAGCCCTGAAACTAGTTTTCTCTGTTGAGAGAATATGCCCAAGGTGAGTCCTCGTCACTCCTTCTCTCCCATTTGAATCCAATCTGCTGGTCAGGTAAGTCCTTCCAGGTGACCTGTGGTAACAAAATGTCCCATGTTAATTCACAGACTCCCACACGAAATCAGAGCTGTGCCCAGGTTCTTTCACTGAAAAGAAAGAGATGAAAGGGATACTGCCCTCGGAGGTGACAGACCAAGCCCACAGGAAAATGTTTTGATTCCTGAGACACAAAACCATTTCTTTTTGGTTCATTTCAGTATTTATAGCAGTGCACATATAACACATTTCCATCCACACGAATAGTTCCCAATTGTTGGAGCAAATTAATCTTTTACAAGCTACTCAGCAGTGAGGTTAGAAGATAAACAGTAGGTAAAATTGTACACTTTCCCCTCTATGTGAACCTCCTTATTACAATAAACTCCCACATGTGTGCTCGCCACGTCCAAAGACTGCCACTCTGTTCATGTGGAGGCCCTGGCTGTCCCCTGCCACCTCTGCCCTGCTGAGGTAGTTCTCTGATCAACCACCTGGGTGGGGCATGCTGCCATTTTCAGTTTGGAAGGAAAAGCCCGTAAATCTGCTTCCTGGGAAGAGAGACATTGCTGAATTGTCATTTGCCTCCAGAATGCAGAAAACATCAATTTCATTGCAGCTCATCAGAGTTGGAAACACCTGCCACTTCCTTTCTCAGTTGCAATTAACAGGCTGCATCTTGGCATTGATTGATTCCAAGCAGCCTAACCCTGCCAAAGTCAAGGTTTAAATGAAACAGTACAACCTGATATTATTTTTCACAGTTTTAGAAACATGAACTTATTTTTATCGCCAAAGAAGCACTATGATAGTGGGAGATATAAAGCTTTATGCTTGAGATAAACGTGAGTAGAATAGATTGACGCTTATAATAAAAATAGTTCTTTATCTTTGAGGGCAGTACTTATTTCTGCACCTTTGCATTTACTTGGAGATGAAGTGGAAAACTAATATTCTTTCTATATCCCAGCACCTAGCACAGGGCTGCAGAACCCCACAGGCATTCAGAGAATGTTAAACAAACAGATCAATAAATGAATGGTTTGTGAGAGTGAGCTTAAGATCTGTCTTCTCGGTGCAACTTATGTAAAATTCTGAACTTATAACGATCATAAGCCCTTTGGTTTAACTTAGAAGCTGTGTGAGACTGCGAAATATGACCTGAAGCTAGGGCTTTATGTCCCATTCAGGGTCCTGTATTGTTTGGCTTTGATCACGTTCACCAGGGCTCTTTTATAAGGCGGTAAAGGCTCTGTCCGTTTGTATCATAGACCTACTCATATTGCCTATGCAGAAACTGTCTTCAAAATGTACAATATTGTGAATAAGGAATGAAATCATTTAAAATAGTTCAACAGCCATAATATTTGTGTCCTTTGGAAATGTCATTGAAATGGTTTTTATGTACTGGTAAAACAGGAAGTCAGTGTAAGTAGAAAACTGCTAAGTATGAGGTTTATGTCTTAACTTGGCTAGAACACGGTGTGTGGAAGAAAGTGAACAGATTGCTTCTCTCATCTTTGAACAGAATACTGGGACCAAGAACCACCTTCCTTCTTGATCCTCTTGGGAGCATCTATCTTTTAGATGGAAATATAACAAATCAAAATAAGTGGCAATTAATCGCTTTGCACAATAACAACCCAGACACTACTCATTTGAACAGCATCTGTTAAATGTATACAAGCATCCAATGGTGCACTTTTACATGACCAACAGTAAAAAATGGGCTTGAATATTTCTGCAGATTCTAGAATGAAAACTGAAGTTATAGATCTTTCTTTTTTTTTTTTTTTCCCTTTTTTTACTGACCGGTAACGGGATTGCAACCCTCAGTGTTGCGCCCGCACCGCGCTCAGCCAGTGAGCGGGAACCGGTCTCCACGTGGGATCCGAACCCTCGGTGGGAGCGCCGCCACGCTCCCAAGCGGTGCACTCTCCAGTGCACCACCAGGCCGGCCCTAGATCTCTTTCTTAACATAAGTTAACATTCCTGTGCATCCATAATCTTACCTCTAAATGCCTGGTGGCTGAAAATGTTATTTTGACTATCTCCGTATATCTTTAATACTCCATAACTCACTGGCCCCAAACATCTGGGTTATTTGTATATTAAATAGGTTGTGTACTAATTTCTTGGTGCTAATAGGTCTTCTCTACATTGAAACACAGGAAAACCAGAATTATGAGGAAATAATATTATCGATTTCCACCAAATATACAAATAAATAAAAATTGATAAATAGCCAGAAGTGGCACAGTTTTCATAGTACACATGTAGATAGGTAGGTAGGTTGATAGATATACAGATAGATAACCTCCACATATTCCTTAGTAGTAGAATTCAGGCACTAGGGCACATGATTTAAAAAGAAAAGAGAGAGAAAAAAAAAGGAAGGAAGGAAAGAAGAAAGGAAAAGAGAAAAGAACCACAACCTTTGGAACTGGGTATACCACAGAAAGGTTGTGTTTAAATACCACCCAAAACTCTGACTGACTTGGAGAAGTCCAGTTGCACATCTAATTTCTGGCTTGTCAGCTGGCCAGATTTGTGTGCACAGACAGCAGCTCAGATAGAAGTGGTTCATGGGTCAACTTATATTGAGAAAAATTTGGTCTTGAGTTAGAGCCAACTGTTGCAAAGCACCTTGTCTAACAACACATTTAAACACCTGCAGAAATGAGAGTGGCCAAATATACAACAAAGAGTTCTTCAGTTTCTCATCAATAACAAACTAAATCTTCAAAGAATCCCACTGAGGGAAAAACAATTATTTTATGACAACATATCACCATTTAAAATCTTCTCTCCTTTGCTTCCCATATGAACTGTCAAAATGCTCCAGGAATTTTGACATGTCAGTTCACAAAGTCCATCTCTCCACTTTCTTTTCACATTGAAAAGTCATAAAAAATCCATGACCCAATTTGGGATTTGGTAAATGGGGACACTGCCCTCAGCTTCACCTTGAAGTCAGAAGTAATTTTGTCCTTGTCCCCTAGAGCTCCTGGGCAATCCCTGGGGAGAATCAGGATACTTCTCTGGGCCTAAGAAGACCACCACCGAGAAGCTCTTTTGCCTTGTGCTTGGTTTTAGCCGCAGCACCAACCTCATCAGTATTTTATCAATAGATGAAAGAGTTTCCCTTTCTGCCATCACCAACCCTTATAAAAAGAACACTTCGAAATCCTTCATTTTCTAAAAATGCTTTTCATTATGTTCCAGGAGCCATAAAGAGAGTACTGTGGGAACAAAAAGCTTTTTAAAGCCAACAGTATTTGGTGAAAACTAACAATCCTGCTGGCATAAAGTTAGTTTTATTTCCTTTTTTCTTTTTTTAATAAAATTAAGGCACAAATTATTAAACTCTCATTGCTTATGTATATTATATGAAGGCTTATAAATACACCTGGTAAATTAAATTCACCCTGGATTGAATTAACACCTGCTATGTGAGTTATTTGCTTTATGTAATCAGTAATCTTGAGGTTTGTCCTCTTTCTCTGGAAACACAATTTAAATATTAACCTAATCTTTAAACTGCTGCTGCTTCTTTCTGACATTTGGAAACCGGTCATCCATGCAAAAAAAGGCAAATACGGATATATTAATGAAAAGGCAGCTTCTTAAAAATCTTAAAACATGTAACTCAAGGAATTGGGAAGGAAAATGATAAAAGCAGCAGGAAAGTCAAGCCTTTGTGTCACCTTCTAGGGGAAACAATGCTGGTCATCAGCCAAGGACACCTCCAATCTGAGAGCCTGGGTGAATTTGACTGCCAGTTTCAAAAGAGATTTTGTGTTTTCTTCATTATAATCTCTAGAAGAATCTTGGGAAGCTGCATGAGAGAATATTAATTTTTTAAAAAATGCAGTAGGATATAAATTAAGTTCCAGGCATGATAAATCCTGCAAAAGGACTTGTGAGAATGTATGCTTGGCCTGGTCCGGTCCGGCTTGCCTTGAGGCACAGGGACTGCGGGCCTGCTCAGGTCCTGCTCAGCCGACAGCCCCTGGAGGACAGGAAGCTTTCAAAGTGCTGGTCTTCGGCCTTCTCTTTGACGCGTTGTTCCTCTAAGGAATCTACCAGTTTGTCCCTTTGCTCAATCACTTGCATCATCTCGGTGAATATTTCTTGTTCCTCATTTAGATCGTCCGCATCTTTCTGGCTCTCTAAAGAAAAAAAGAAAAACACTCAGGTAAGATTGGGCCCCAGGAGAGTTCCTGGCATGGGCATTCTTGGTTGTTATGTTCTGCCCTTTAATTTCAATGGAGAAAACAAGGAAATGAATTTAACACCAAGGAACAGCCCTTAAAGCCACAGATTAGAAAGACGGGTGCTTTGTGAAGTAGTCAGCTCCGTTTTCATCTTGAGACTATATATAAAGCAACAGGAGAAAACCGCTTTGTGAGAAGAAGTTAATACCAACCAGGCCCTATCAATTCCCCCCACCTCCCTTCCTGCCCCGAAAAGAAACTAACAAAAACAACAAAAAAGCTGTTTCCATAAACATGTCTGAGCCACAGCAATGAAATCTATGAGAAAAGTCTCTAAGTAAACCATCTGCACCAGTGGCTACTATCTCAATGATGAGAATCTTTTTTCATTTGCAGGGAATGACAAATTGTAGCCTCTTGTACAGAGATACATGGACGCCAAGTGAGGCCACAGCTGTCTAACAGGACACATTTCCAGACTGACCCTGTTCTTCCTTTTCCCAGTAGGTGACTTTCTTCCTAACTGTCCTGACACACCCAACTGTGTGAGGAAGATAGGATTGTTGTAATAAAAGGAAGGGCGAGAATAAGAAACAGGTAGTAATGACTTCCTGGCACTCAAAACAGGATTTTAAAGCCATGTTTAAGTCTTGCCAACCAGATTACTGCCTTGGGAGAAGACTTTCTAGTCTCTTTAGGCCCTCCCATCTAACACAGGAGGACCAGGCAGTGGCCAGCCTGACCCCAGGGCAGAGAAGGCACCGGGGTCTCTCCTCAGGCTTAGTTCTGAGGTCTGGGCCAGGAAGAAAGTAGGTGTGATGAAAGGGACTCAAGATGCACCATCCCCTGTGTCCTTCCTGTTTTATGGGAGGGAGAAGAGAGGCGCAGAGGCAGAGGGTGAGGGCTCTGAGCTCAGGTTTTTCCATTCTGGGTCTTGGAAGCAACCAAGGGGGCAGGAAATGTCCTACATCACCTGACAGGAACTAGGGGCTGAAGAACTCTTGGTGGCCCCTTGTTCAGAACTCTGGAAGAAGCCAGCTTGAAGGGCACCCCTATGAACAGACATGGGGCAGTAATTCAAGGCTGGGCAGAGCAGAAGGGTCTGAGTGTGGCTCCCCAAGGTCTCCGTCTGCTGTGTGTGGCCTGGGCAGAGCCCAGAAGTGCCCACTTGCCCCAAAGCTACCACGCGTAGCTGGCGAGTGGACCTGCCATGAGGCTCCCCGATTTGGGGGGAAGTGATCCACAGTGAAGGCTGTCTGGTAGACTGTCTGGCCACGGTGAATGAGAGATGTGCTGCGGTGAGGCTGAGCGAGACAGGAATGCCACCAGGCTCCAGCGCGCGCCAGGAGACTGGCCAGGTGTGGACGACACCAGCCATGCACCTCAGCTGCAAGCTCTGGCACAGAGAGGGCCAGCCCAGTGACAGAGGCAGTGGTGGGGACTCGGTGCATCAGAGCATTCCACACAGTCACAAGGTCACACACCCTGCCTCTCCCCATTGCCTGGAAGGCACCCTAGGGAGAAACGCAGAAGAAAGCAGGGGCCCTCTTCCAAACTGAACGTTTTCATCCCAAAGAGACCTAGCGTTTCCTACAAGGACTGTTTAAATGATTGCATCAGACTAAGTTTACCACAGTGGGATAAAGAGTTTTTGTTTTTTTCCCTGCTAACTAGTGGGAGGAGGCTTACGTGCAGAATGAGCTCGGGTACTGACAAAATGAAGCTACATTTTTTGGTACGTCTGAGAGGAGTGAGAAAACACATGAATTTCACTTCTTATTAAGAATTAAAAAGAAATAATCTTAGAGTCTTTGGTGGTATTTATATGACTATCCTAAAACAGAACATGTGTAAACCAGATATTAATTAGACATTATGGTTTGTTAATTTAGATATATTCCAGGATTGGTATTCCTTATTTAAAAAACGACACAGAAAAATAAAAAATTCCTCTCTCAGGCTTGTCAAAGAGGGACCCATCTGAGCCCCTCCTGACAAAAGATGATGTGTACCACTTTAATATGTTCTATACGGTGCAGCTTTCAGGATTTGGTTAGAAATAGAATTCTGTTGCTACAAAGAAACAGTCTGCAAATTACTATCAGATGGGAAAAGAGACCCTGTGGTCTGTTCCTAAATCTTAGCCTTACCATTTACCTTGAGTGTACTATTTAAATTCTCTGAGATCCAGTTTTCTAATCTGTAAAATGGGGATAAAATACCTAAATAAAAATGCTGATGGTGTCCAATATTTACTGAGTGCTTGCCCTGTACCAGGCAACCCTAGAAGGTAGGTGTGATGTTAGTTCCATGAGGTATACAGACATTATTTAACTTGTTCTTTTACACCTAAGTCTAAATGTAGGAGAATCATGCATAGAACTGGCCCCACATAGGCACAAAACAGAGTGAATATGCCTTTCTGGCTGGAGTCATTGAATGCATAAATCAGTATACGGTATCAGCAGAGTTTATTTCTACTCTCCCTCCTTCATGGTAGAATGATTTTCTCATGTGTGATGCCCTGGTCCAGCTCAGGCTGGGAGGGAATGTTTCCTTTACCATTTCTCATGCCTGGCAGAACTAGGCACACCTTCCTCTGGCCCAGAGCACCACTGTGGTGGCCTCGTGTCAGTGTGCTATCATTGCTGGTCTGGGCAGGGGTCTCCCCAGTGAGACCACAGACTCCCAGAGGGTAGGGGCTCCTCATCACCACATGCCAGGTCCACACTAGGTTCTCATAAACACTTGTTAAATGAATGGATGGACAAGTGAATGAGTGAATAAATGACTTTGTTCCTATCGGCACATAGGATGGAGGAAAATGCTGCCCTCACAGCCCGAGCAAGCAAAGTTAAATGGGGGCTTGCTGTGCGCATGCTGGTGGGCGAAAGGAAGGCTGGCTCTGTGCTTCCTCTGACTCTTGGGCTGGTGGTGTGAGGCGGGAAGAGTGCTCCGCTCTGGGATTTGCAGCACACTCTGCTCGTGTCTTTCTGGGGAGAAATATCTTCAACAAGGGCCCTAACCATTTCACCATACTCACCCGCCTTGAGCATTTTTTCTCTTAATTTCTGCTCCAGTCTGCTTTGGTGATCTTCTAGTTCTAGTTCTTGGGCCCTGGATAAGAGAAAATGTTCAAACTTTGTAAATAGTAGGGATTTGTGTAGGGACATGGATGGATGAGCCCATAGATGGTAGCTACTGCATTTCTTTTGTCTTATCAAGACTGGGGGTCATAGGAGAGCTCTAAAATGAAAGTTCTGCTGTTGCCAGGCTCACTAAAGGTGCCTAGAAAGATTGCTGAGATATGCTGACCTCAAGAGACGATGGGGAGCCGCTGATTGTGACGTGACCTCAGCAGGCTTTTGGAAGCCCATCCAGACCACCCTTTATGGATGGGCTGGAGGTAGGGCGAATAGTGAGGAAAAGACTAAATAGTCCAGGGCAGAAGTGAGGACAATCTGAAAATCTTCTCTCTTTTAGGACTTCAACATGACTTCAAGTACCACCTCTAATAACCCCCAAATCTCTGAGTATGGTAAACTAGAAAACAAAAGTGAGATATTTTGTCCAGGTGCAGTCAATAAAAGTAGACATTCTCCAGATGTGACAACAACCAAAAATGTCTCCAGACATTGCCCAATATCCTCTAGGGGTATTGCCTCTGTTTGAGATCCACTGGTCTAAGGTAAGGGCCTTGCCTCTCAGGAGCAAGTGCGTCCATTACCTTTGGTGATTAGGCAGATAGATATGTCTAATTCTGGGTTTGGTTAGTGTAGTGGGTTGAATGGTGACCCCCTCCCCTCCCAGCCCCCAAAGATGTGTCCATGTCCTATGCCCCAGAAACTATGAATGTGACTTTATTTGAAAAAGGGTTTTGCAGATATAATTAAGGATTAGACATTCTCCAGATGTGACAACAACCAAAAATGTCTCCAGACATTGCCCAATATCCTCCAGGGGTATTGCCCCTGTTTGAGATCCACTGGTCTAAGGTAAGGGCCTTGCCTCTCAGGAGCAAGTGCGTCCATTACCTTTGGTGATTAGGCAGACAGATGTGTCTAATTCTGGGTTTGGTTAGTGTAGTGGGTTGAATGGTGACCCCCTCCCCTCCCAGCCCCCAAAGATGTGTCCATGTCCCATGCCCCAGAAACTATGAATGTGACTTTATTTGAAAAAGGGTTTTGCAGATATAATTAAGGACCTTGAGAGGAGAGCATTTTGGATTATTCCAGTGGGTCCTAAACCCAATGACAAGTATCCTTATTTGAGACAGAAGAGGAGGAGACACACACACACAGAGAAGGCCATGTGAAGACAGAGGCAGAGACTGGAGTGATGCAGCCACAAACTAAGGAATGCCTGGAGCCACAACAAGTGGAAGAGGCAAGGAAGGGTCCTCCTCCAGAGCCTCTGGTGGGAACACGGCTCTCCCAACATCTTGACTTTGGACTTTGGCTTCCAGAACATGAGAGAGTAAATTTCTTTGTTGCAAGCCATCCAGTTTGTGCTGCAGCCGTAAGAAACTAATATGGTTAGCAAACCCATCTGGGCTCTCATACATAGCCAAGCTAGCCATTATTGTTAATAAAGGTGATATTTTGATGTTCTGTCTAATGATTTGGTTGCCTTCTTTCTCACCTAGTTGAGAACTCAGCCAGGGAAGAGTGGTGGCATTCATTACACCCCTTTGACAACCCCCAAAATTACCTCTCAGGGTGGAGGTGAAAATGAAATAAGACAGCATAAATGAAAGCANGGAGCCACAACAAGTGGAAGAGGCAAGGAAGGGTCCTCCTCCAGAGCCTCTGGTGGGAACACGGCTCTCCCAACATCTTGACTTTGGACTTTGGCTTCCAGAACATGAGAGAGTAAATTTCTTTGTTGCAAGCCATCCAGTTTGTGCTGCAGCCCTAGGAAACTAATACGGTTAGGAAACCCATCTGGGCTCTCATACATAGCCAAGCTAGCCATTATTGTTAATAAAGGTGATATTCTGATGTTCTGTCTAATGATTTGGTTGCCTTCTTTCTCACCTAGTTGAGAACTCAGCCAGGGAAGAGTGGTGGCATTCATTACACCCCTTTGACAACCCCCAAAATTACCTCTCAGGGTGGAGGTGAAAATGAAATAAGACAGCATAAATGAAAGCACCCAGCACAACTTGTGGTGCTCAATTGATTTCTATTAAACGCTACTTTCCCTCCAAAATGGTGACAGGTATAGTGACCTTCAACTTTTTCAGAGTGTGGTGAGATCCAGCTCTACTTTCCGATCTCCCAACCAGGCTGCAAACCCTCATTTGGAGAGGACAGTCAGACAGATCTCAGTCCTTCATTCCTTGAGAGCCACAGGGAAGTGGCCAGGCAGGTCTCACAGAGCCCTTTCCATGATTCACAGTCTGAGGCTAGACTGAAAGTAGGGGTAGACTGAAAATACCTTATCCAAATGCCCTTCAGCTCCAGACCCATTGCTTGAAATCTATTTCAGTCATAGGACCTGTTTGAGATCCACTGGTCTAAGGTAAGGGCCTTGCCTCTCAGGAGCAAGTGCGTCCATTACCTTTGGTGATTAGGCAGATAGATATGTCTAATTCTGGGTTTGGTTAGTGTAGTGGGTTGAATGGTGACCCCCTCCCCTCCCAGCCCCCAAAGATGTGTCCATGTCCTATGCCCCAGAAACTATGAATGTGACTTTATTTGAAAAAGGGTTTTGCAGATATAATTAAGGACCTTGAGAGGAGAGCATTTTGGATTATTCCAGTGGGTCCTAAACCCAATGACAAGTATCCTTATTTGAGACAGAAGAGGAGGAGACACACACACACAGAGAAGGCCATGTGAAGACAGAGGCAGAGACTGGAGTGATGCAGCCACAAACTAAGGAATGCCTGGAGCCACAACAAGTGGAAGAGGCAAGGAAGGGTCCTCCTCCAGAGCCTCTGGTGGGAACACGGCTCTCCCAACATCTTGACTTTGGACTTTGGCTTCCAGAACATGAGAGAGTAAATTTCTTTGTTGCAAGCCATCCAGTTTGTGCTGCAGCCCTAGGAAACTAATACGGTTAGGAAACCCATCTGGGCTCTCATACATAGCCAAGCTAGCCATTATTGTTAATAAAGGTGATATTCTGATGTTCTGTCTAATGATTTGGTTGCCTTCTTTCTCACCTAGTTGAGAACTCAGCCAGGGAAGAGTGGTGGCATTCATTACACCCCTTTGACAACCCCCAAAATTACCTCTCAGGGTGGAGGTGAAACTGAAATAAGACAGCATAAATGAAAGCACCCAGCACAACTTGTGGTGCTCAATTGATTTCTATTAAACGCTACTTTCCCTCCAAAATGGTGACAGGTATAGTGACCTTCAACTTTTTCAGAGTGTGGTGAGATCCAGCTCTACTTTCCGATCTCCCAACCAGGCTGCAAACCCTCATTTGGAGAGGACAGTCAGACAGATCTCAGTCCTTCATTCCTTGAGAGCCACAGGGAAGTGGCCAGGCAGGTCTCACAGAGCCCTTTCCATGATTCACAGTCTGAGGCTAGACTGAAAGTAGGGGTAGACTGAAAATACCTTATCCAAATGCCCTTCAGCTCCAGACCCATTGCTTGAAATCTATTTCAGTCATAGGACTCCACAGAGAGAACAGACAACTAAAGATGCTTTGCATTAATGCCAGTATGATATGCAAGACACAAAATATCAATTTGCCTCAATCATTATTCTGTATGCACAAAGAGAAAAAATCCTGGGACTTCAACCTAGGAGGGTGAGCCTCCTCCCACCCCTTTGCTTTTAGGACTCACTGTTATCTGTGTTGCCTTACTTACATGATCAGTAGCTCCGACTCATATCGCATTAATTTATTCTTCTCCAGAACCAGCTTAAACCATTCCTGTAAAAGCTGTGCTTCATCCTGTGTGCCTGAATCTGCTTAAGAAATCAACAGCAAATGGGTTAGATTGGCATTTCTCTCCCCATGATCAAACTGCTTTGGAGCCACTTTAGCTGGCCGTGTTTGTAGCAAGCAGGGCTCTGCAGGCAGCAGCTCCCCACACCCTGTTGATGCCTTGAGGTAATGGGCATGACCAACAAAACCCACCTGCGCGTATTCTGGAGGAAGGTCCTCTTGGATATTTAGGGCATGACAACATCAGCTCCAAGGATCATATGCCCTTGATAACGTCCTACTACAAATGACTCTTTTTCCTACTTGTATGTCCCCCATGAAACATATATGTTTATGCATAACATCTTCCACCAAAGAAAACCCTAGCTGCTGGCTACTATCTCCTCCTGCTTTCTCCCGAATCAAATGCCTACTGAGTACCCAGGTGGTATGTGGTTCCCATCACGGGACAGGGAAGCTCACACCACATTTGGTCATAGAGGAGTGGTGACTGGCATTATGCTCTTTTGCNCAGGGAAGCTCACACCACATTTGGTCATAGAGGAGTGGTGACTGGCATTATGCTCTTTTGCACAAATAAAAGCCAAATGACAAAAGAAAAGGTTATTAGCCTTGAGTCTCATGGGGAAAAAGTTATATTCACACATCTTACAACTTGGATTATGGCCTTTATTAAATAGATGAATAATCATGAAAAAATTGGTACTGCTTCTCAGATACTCATGTTAGATGCTAAATGTTTAGAAACTAAAATGTTAAAATCTAGGCATATTTGNAGATACTCATGTTAGATGCTAAATGTTTAGAAACTAAAATGTTAAAATCTAGGCATATTTGAGAAGTAGCAACATAGAGGTGGCTTTCTAATATTTCACCCTGAAATGAGAACACACACTGTATGACAATGCTCATGGCCATTTTAGGATTTATACTGGAGGGTCTCATAGGCAGGGGGTGAAACAGTGCAGGTATAAGATTTGTGTGGCATTAACCACACAAAGCAAGTTGCTTAACCTCTTGGAGCCTCTGCTTCTTCACTGGCTAAGCTGGACTAACAAGACACAGGCAATACAATAATGATGAGCTGCTATTTATTACACAGCGATCATATGCCAGTTGACGAGCAGTGTGTCTTAAAAATAGAATCTCATTTAATCCTCACAATAGACTCACCAGTAGATTCTTTTATCATTTCCACTTGAGATCTAAGAAACAAAGGTTTAAAGATTAAAGTAACTTTCTGGATGGGCTGGAGGTAGGGCGAGTAGTGAGGATAAGACTCTAAATGTTTAGAAACTAAAATGTTAAAATCTAGGCATATTTGCAAAGTAGCAACATAGAGGTGGCTTTCTAATATTTCACCCTGAAATGAGAACACATGCTGTATGACAATGCTCATGGCCATTTTAGGATTTATACTGGAGGGTCTCATAGGCAGGGGGTGAAACAATGCAGGTATAAGATTTGTGTGGCCTTAACCACACAAAGCAAGTTGCTTAACCTCTTGGAGTCTCTGCTTCTTCACTGGCTAAGCTGGACTAACAAGACACAGGCAATACAATAATGATGAGCTGCTATTTATTACACAGCGATCATATGCCAGTTGACGAGCAGTGTGTCTTAAAAATAGAATCTCATTTAATCCTCACAATAGACTCACCAGTAGATTCTTTTATCATTTCCACTTGAGATCTAAGAAACAAAGGTTTAAAGATTAAAGTAACTTTCCCAGGTTCACAATAAATGGTGCAGTGAGGACTTGAACTCAAGTGTGTCTCACCCTATGCCCATGCTCTTTGCTGCTATGTACGCCTCTCCCTCCCCTCTTTTCACTCCCTCTCTCTTTCTACCGTTCATGTAAGGTAAATAATGCCCCTAGTCCATTGCCTTGCACATAACAAGTAATCCATATAAATTAATTCTGTTTTCTTTCTGTCTCCTTGACTAACTTTTTACTGATAAAGAAACTAGGGCCCAGAGAGTTTATATGCAATGTCCCAAATTATATAGTTGATAGGCAAATGGGTGCTAGAATGCATATCTTGACTGCTGGTCTATTCATTCATTCATTCATTTATTCAATAACTCATTAATTGAACACCTATGTGCTGGGTACTGTGTTAGGTACTGGGGATAGAGTGATATGTAATATTAAATGTCACACGAAAGTTGGAGATAGTGAAGTATAGCACCTCCCACAAAGGATATTGTTAGATAATCTCATTTGGGTCATATAGCCTCAAGGAACTAGAATAAAATAAAACTTTAGAAAACTGTCACAACAAAGCAACAACAAAAAAGCTGGGAATATAGAGGAGGAGGGTTTTCCTGGTTAGGGCATGAGGCTGGGCTTCCTGAGGGACGTAGTGTTTGGACTGGGGTATTGAAGAATAGATAACACTTTTGAGAGGAAATAACAAGGATGGAAGAGGGCATTTTCAAGAAGAGGGAACAGCATGAAGAAAGACGAGGGGATGGGAAAGAAGGTGGTGGAGACAGGGATTGGGAAGGCCTAAGGGGATCTGGAGGGGTGGATGATGAGGCCTGGGATTTTATGGTGATCTCATCATAGAGGCTCCTGAGTTTCATGCTAAGGCATTTGTACTTTATGCTGTAGAACATGAGGAGACATTACAGGTGGTGGAGTAAGACAGTGACATGTGGAGTTTTACATAGGAAGGATGGAAGGATGGAAGGATGGAAATAAGATGTTATTCTTTCTTAGGTTTCTTGAATGAATGAAAGAACAAACTTATAAACATATAGAGTGCCAATATCTTCTAAGCATTGTCTGTGGTGCTGGGGGACAGATATGAATAAGCACTGGTTCCAGCTCTTCAGGAAACTGGAGGCTTGCAGTCCACTGCGGAAACCAACACTACACAGGCAAAGAGAACACAAGATGCCCCTTGCTATGGGAGCACAGGAGGGGAGCAATTGATCCTGTGTAGCGGAAGAGAGGGCAGGCCTCCGAGAGGGGCAGCAGGTGAGCTCAGTCTAAATGGAGGGAAGCGGGTGAAGGACAAAGCATCCGAGGACATCAGTTGTTGGATGAAAGAACAACGTGTAGAAACCAGAGATCATATACTCATATAATCACACGAAAGTTGGAGATAGTGAAGTATAGCACCTCCCACAAAGGATATTGTTAGATAATCTCATTTGGGTCATATGGCCTCAAGGAACTAGAATAAAATAAAACTTTAGAAAACTGTCACAACAAAGCAACAACAAAAAAGCTGGGAATATAGAGGAGGAGGGTTTTCCTGGTTAGGGCATGAGGCTGGGCTTCCTGAGGGACGTAGTGTTTGGACTGGGGTATTGAAGAATAGATAACACTTTTGAGAGGAAATAACAAGGATGGAAGAGGGCATTTTCAAGAAGAGGGAACAGCATGAAGAAAGACGAGGGGATGGGAAAGAAGGTGGTGGAGACAGGGATTGGGAAGGCCTAAGGGGATCTGGAGGGGTGGATGATGAGACCTGGGATTTTATGGTGATCTCATCATAGAGGCTCCTGAGTTTCATGCTAAGGCATTTGTACTTTATGCTGTAGAACATGAGGAAACATTACAGGTGGTGGAGTAAGACAGTGACATGTGGAATTTTACATAGGAAGGATGGAAGGATGGAAGGATGGAAATAAGATGTTATTCTTTCTTAGGTTTCTTGAATGAATGAAAGAACAAACTTATAAACATATCTTCTGCCAATATCTTCTAAGCATTGTCTGTGGTGCTGGGGGACAGATATGAATAAGCACTGGTTCCAGCTCTTCAGGAAACTGGAGGCTTGCAGTCCACTGGGGAAACCAACACTACACAGGCAAAGAGAACACAAGATGCTCCTTGCTATGGGAGCACAGGAGGGGAGCAATTGATCCTGTGTAGCAGAAGAGAGGGCAGGCCTCCGAGAGGGGCAGCAGGTGAGCTCAGTCTAAATGGAGGGAAGCGGGTGAAGGACAAAGCATCTGAGGACATCAGTTGTTGGATGAAAGAACAACGTGTAGAAACCAGAGATCATATACTCATATAACATAGAAATAAGAGCATATGTTTTAAACTCAGACTTGGGATCAAACTTCTACTCTTCCACCTACCACTGTGTGGGATTGGGCAATTAACAGTCTCCCTGAGCCTCAGTCTCCTCATCTGTTGTGAAGTTGCATTGGGATTATGCACACAAAGCCCTTAACCCAGTCCTGGAACACAGTATAAGCTCAATAAGTGGTAGTGGTCATTATGCAGATCATACAGCATATGAGATGGAAGAACGCTCAGGGGTCATCGGGTCCAGCCACGGAACCAACGCAGGAATTCATTCCTTCTATCTCCTCCCTGACAGCTGGCTGCCCCAGTCTCTACTACAAGCGTACTTCCAAAAGATCATGGAAAGATTCATATTATGTTTTGATTCTATTTTTCCATGAACTTTTCTCCATGTCATGAGGGGGCTCCCTGCTCTCCAGGGAGCTCACTGCAAGGAAGTATCAAAAAATTCTTTCTATTGGCCTTCAGTGGGTTGGTTGGCTGCTAGCCACTAATTCCAGGTTTTCCCTCTGGAGGAATACAGAAAACACATAACTACATATTTTAGATAAAAGACCTTTAGATATTTGAAGACAGGTCTCACAATTCACTGAAGTTTGCTTTTTCATAGTTAGCACCTCTAGATCATTCATCATTTTGCCTTTTGAGGGTGGCCCACCTCTGCTCGCCCTCTAATTTTCCAGGATATATCTTAAAGAGAGTTCAGAGTCAAAGAAAATATCAACAGCCCAGAGTGGTGAGACACTTGCACCTTCTTACTGTGCTCAGGGATTGCAGAAGTCGTTTTGAGGGTGGCCCACCTCTGCTCGCCCTCTAATTTTCCAGGATATATCGTAAAGAGAGTTCAGAGTCAACAGCCCAGAGTGGTGAGACACTTGCACCTTCTTACTGTGCTCAGGGATTGCAGAAGTCTTTTCAGCAGCGTCTTCACTGTGGCTCTTATTAACCTGTAAACGAACGCTGGTCTTTCCA